TGTGTAGTGGGTGGGTGGGTGAGCTATGGTGAATCGGTGGTGTGTGTATTGGTTCTGGTGGTGTTATGTATTGGTGGGATGTGTGTAGGTGTGTATGTGTGTAGGTGTATGTGTTCTAGTGCATAGGAGCGTGTATATTGGGTGTGTGTGCTGGGTGGGTGGGTGAGCTATGGTGAATCGGTGGTGTGTGTTGGTTCTGGTGGTGTTATGTACTGGTGGGATGTGTGATGTGTGTGGGTGGGTGGGTGTAAGCTGGTAGAATGTGCGTATCTCTGTCTGGGTGTGTCAGTGATGAAGTCGGTTCTCCCCATGTATTGACATCGATTCCTAGATTCTGTCACTGGCTCTGACTTTACACTGGGAGCCTTTGGCCCATCTCATGGGGATGTCTGGGATGACGTTTGTCCCCCCTGAGGCTCATCTACCCACTCCTGGGCCTCAGCACACCCTGCTCTCAACTGGCCTTTCAGGGATGAGCCTTCCTTTCGGACCAGCCGTGCCCGTGCCGGTCCAGGGAACGGCCTGAGGTATTGATGTCCGGTGATGGGATAGGGGGAGAGCTGGTCTGCGAGTCAAGTGGACCCGAGTTCCAGTCCTCCTTCTGACAGCATCTACTGGCTGTGTCATTGAGCAAGCTGGTGAATGCCTCAAACTGTTCTCTCCAAGGCCAGGATCCAAAGCAGAGAAGATTCCTAATGCCATGAAGCCACAGTTCCATTTTATAAAATCTGGCTCTCCCACAGGGGTAGAGGAAGGAGAGCTGGGCTTGGAGCCACAGAATCCCAGATTTAGAGCAGGGAGGGGCCCTCTTCGGGACACTAATCCAAATGCCTGATTTTACAGATGAGGAAACTGAGGACAAAGGAGGGTAAGTGATTGGCCTAAGAGCTAGAATTTTAACCCAGGACCTTTGACCTCAGAGCAGAGGTCTGGATTCAAATTCCACCCAGACACTTACCATAATCAAGTTGTTTAACTCTTCTGAGCCTGTTTGCTCTTCTATAAAATGGGTCTAACAATCCCTCCCCAGGGTGTGGCAAGGGTTTGATGAGCGGATGTAGGGGAAGGACTTTGGAAACCTTAATGGGCCATATAACTGTCAGCTATTATTACTTCAGTACTGAGGAAAGCAGAATCAGAGCTCCGTGGGTAGAGAAGTGACTATTTGCTCAATGGAACCACTGAGGCAAGGCCCCTGTGCACACACACTGCCAGGCTCCTGAGCAAGGCTGCAGGGACTCTGGCCACCCTGGTCCCTTCTCCCCATGAACAAAAGCTTGTCGTCGTGCTCCCCCAGCGTTTGGATCGATGAGGCTGAGATTCGCACAGGATGGGCCGAAGTGGTCTGGTTGTAATCTATATAGCAGGAGGGGTTACCCACAAGGATAATGAGAAGACCTCACATGGATCTAGGGCTTTATAACTTACAAAATGCTTTACAGACATCATCCTGTGAGAGCCTCCAAACCACCCAAGGAGGTGGGTGCTGCTATTAACCCTGAATTGTTATTTGGCAGATGAGGAACCTGAGGCTGTGACCTCCCAGAACCCACGTTGTCCTGACTGCCTAGCCTATGAGACCATGATAGATTTGCAGTATTAGAATGCGACTGCAAGCCATTGGGGGAAGTCCTTATTGCCCTAAAGGAAGGATGAGTGGGGCTTTAAGGAAGGAGGGGATCTGTTCTGGGTTCAGATCCCAGCTGGACCCTTTACTGCCTGGGTGACCTTGGGGGAGTTACTTCATTCCCTTCTCTAGCCTCAGTTTCTTCATGTATGAGATGAGAAACTTGGCCTTGGTGGCTTCTAAGGCCCCCATGACCAGAGGCAGGCTTGCTCTGAAGCCGGGGCTCTGGTCTGTCTGATCCTTCTTTGCTTTCCGGAGGTGACCTTCTCTAAACGCACTGCCAGTCTCCTCTTTTCCCAGCACCCACCTTTTCAGAGTTCTTGCCCTCCCGACCTAGCGCATATTGTAGCCTGGCATCTAGCCACCAGATGGGAATATTGTAGACATGGCCATGGAAGAACACAGCCAGGGTGAAGGGCTTCAGTCCTTGGGAGTCTGAGCTGGGCCGAACAGTGTAGGTGCCATCCTGCAGGGAAGACCACAAGGTCGGCCTGCAGGCTCCAGACTAACCCTTACCCTCCTCTCCCCACCCCTCAACCAGGCCTGGCCATCCCAGGGCCCTTTGGGGGGGGACCTGAAGTCCAAGGGCAGCCCCCAACCTCCAAGGCAGAGGAATTCTGAGGAAAGGTAACGGGGGAGATAAGAGGTCAGGGTTGTCCAGACCTCACCTTTTGGAGGTGGAGAAGGGCATTCTCAACAGTATGGCGGTCACAGTGTGCGGAATACCAGGGCTGACTCAGCATGCTGGCCTCCTGTGTACACAGAAATACACACCCAACACACATACACACACCCAATACACACACACACACACACACACACAGAGCATAGAGTAGCACACTGAAGCCAGGTGGTTGGTGGGAAGAGGCGGCTCTAAAGCAGGGGGAGGGGTGAAATACAAACTGTTGCTTAGGACACCATAACTTTCAGAAAGGGCAAGAATCCAAAGTCAAGTCAATTCAATTCAAAAAGCACTTTCTATGTGCCTACTATGTGCCAGCAAGGTCCCTCTGCTCCCCTTCTCCACATCTCAAAGCCCTTTGACGTCATCCTCCCTTCTCTCCTCCTTCCCTCCAGTCTAGACATCATCTTCCATTCTCTCCTTTAGTCTCTGGTGAAGAAAGAGGGGGCCCTTCTCTTCTCCTCACCAAGGCCAGCCCCTCTCTCTGTCTCCTACAGTACTTCCCCCACCCCCCATTACCATCCTCACTCTCAGTAACCATCAGTCTCTCCCTGTCCACTGGCTCCATCCCTTCTTCCTGCAGGCTCATGTCTCACTCATCCTTAGAAACTCCTCTCATTGAATTCACCCCCTCTTTAGCTATGTACCCTCTACTTTTCCTCTCACTCACTTCACAGCTCTCTGCAGTCTGGCTTCTGACCCCATTTTCCCACTGAAACTGCTCTCTCCGAAGTCACCAATGATCTCTCTATTGCCATATCTGATGGCCTCTCCAAGCTTGTTTCTCTCTAACATTTGACACTGTTGACAGCCCCTCTCTTCCTGGATACCCTCTTGTCTCTCGGTGTCCACGACACGCCTGGGCTTGGTTCTCCTACCCTCTGACCCTTTCTTCTACATTCTTGCCCTAAAGTCTGTCTTGGCTCTTTTCCCCTTGTCTACATTCTCTCTCTGGGCGACTCCTTCAGCTCCTGCAGGTTTAAATATTATCTCCACGTAGATGATTCCCAGGTCTATAATCGAGCCCTAGCTTCTCTCCTGAGCTCCAATCTTGCCTCACCAGCTCCGGTTAGATGTAGTGTACCAGACAACTCACGAGCAAAACAAAACCCTCCTTTCTTCTGACATCTCTACTTCGGTTATGGGAGTCCCCAGCCTCCCGGTCCCCTAGGTTCTCAACGTTGGTGCCACCTTTGACCCTCCCTTGCCCCGCACATCCAGTCGTTCTCCAAGTCTTGGTGTTTCTCCCTACACATCTTTCCACTTACACGACCACCACTCTACGTCGGGCCACCCATCTCTTCCGCATTTGCTTTCCACAAATCCATCTCACCCTCACCTCAGCCCCGGTGAATCCCTAGTTTCCTTCAAAACTCAAACATCACCTTTTCTGATCCCCCTTCACCCATTTGGGGGCGCCTTGCCCCTGCCCCAAATTCCCTATATTTCCATTGTGTGTATTTTGCATATGACTCAATGTATGCACATTTTCTCCTTCATTAGAATATAAGCTTCCTGAAGGCAGAGACTGTTTCATTGTTTTTTTTCTTTTTACCCCCAGGGCCTAACACCGGGGTCATAGTAGGCACTTAATAAACATCTACCAATTAATTAATTGACAGGTATCATTTCATTCTTTGTCTTTGCGTCTTTGAATGCGAGAGGCACATAGTAGGTGTTTAACAAATGCCTGGTGACACAGATAAAAAACCCAATAGTCCCAGATCTCTGTTGATATGCAATGCAGAGGGGCAAGAAGGAGGCCCTAAGAGCAGGAAAGAGCGGGCTCTCCCCTTGGGCTCCTCTCGGCAGCCCTCTTCACTCACCTCATCCGCAGGGGTATTCTCCTTGGGTGGTTTCCTCCCAGCTGGAGGAAGGGGATTACACAGAGCGGCTGGGGCAATAGAATATAAAAATGAGAAGGCCGTCTAAGGTCAGCTCCTTCGAGGTCGGGATGAGGAAACTGAGGCACAGGTTGGGAAGTGTCTTGCCCAGGGGCACACAGCTACTAAGGATCAAAGACGGGACTGGAATCCAGGTCTTCCCGACTTTAAGGCCAGCACTCTCTCTACTAGATGTGTTTTGTTGGGGTTTTTCTGTGCAGGGTCAGGGGCAGGAGAGACTCCCCGTCTAATATGGAAAGGGACATGTGCTCAGGGATTCCCAGAGCAGAGCCTAGCCAGGGAACAGCAGGGAGCATGAAGCCTTTGGTGAATCAGAACTGGAGGGGTGAGGGGCCTCTGAACCTGACTTTCAGTATGACCTCGCTGGGCTGGGGTGGGAGAGAGATGTGCCTGGGGGTCAGGAGTGGCAGTTGGGGTGTGCCTGGGGTCCCGGATGAAAACATTTGTCATTCTTACCATTGCAAGCCATGTCTTTTGTCCCCTGGAATATAGGAAGTAATGTTCAGGTCAGTTTTTGCCTGTCAGACCCTCCCTCCAACCCCCTCCCTCTTGAAATAGGCAAAGTCCCAGACTCCAGCCTCCTTTCCTGGGCACCCTCAAAGCTGCCCCACACATTCCATTTGTTTCCTCTGTTGGCATATGGGTTAAAATTTTAAAAGCACACATATATGAACACCTGGACGGCAATGATGGTGCCTTTTTTGTGTATCATTAATGCTTTTTTGTCTTTACATCAATGTCATTTACAGAAATGCCCCACCCTGAACCTTCCTTTGTGACAAAGAAAGTAGTCCAGTAAAAGCAACATCATGCTTAGAATTCCACACCTGTGTCCCCCCCTACCTCGACTCCCCTCCCCTATACTCCAACTGTCGGGCTCTTTCACTTTTTGTCATACTCACACTCCGAGCTTCCTGGGGGACAGAAGTGGGCTTGTAGGCAGATCTATGAAAGCAAATTGGGGAATTAGGGTTAAGGGCCCCTGCATTAGGAGAAAGATCCCAGTGGACCTAGAGCCCTTGGCTTTGGCATCTCTCTGCTGCCCCCAACACCCTCTCCCCTGGGAAGAAAAGGGCTGTTTCCAAGTCATCCTTATCTCCCTCCCACCAGAACCTGGATGCTAACGCTGGGACTCTGGCTACTGACAGGTGAGTTTTCAACTTATCTTTTTTTTTTTTTTTGGCAAGGCAATTGGGGTTAAGTGACTTGCCCGGGGTCACAGAGCTAGTAGGTGTCAAGTGTCTGAGGTCAGTTTTGAACTCAGGTCCTCCTGACTCCAGGGCTGGTGCTCTATCTAATCTGCCACCTAGCTGTCCCTGTTTTCACCTTATCTGGAAGGACACCAGGGTTCTAGTTCAAGTTTTTGGCTCTATCCAAGCTAGGCCACTGAGGGTCCATGTTTTCCTGTACCTCCCCCTCCAACTTTTCTAGCTTTCCCTTATTGTTGTCTTCCACCATTAGAATGTCAGCACCTTGAGGGCAGGGTCTGTCTTGCTTGCTTGTATTGGTATCTCTAGTGCTTAGAGCATTGCCTGGCACATAGACAGTAAGCACTTAATAAATGCTTTCCCACTCATTCATTCATTCATTTTTTTCATTATAGCAAGGACCAAGGACATGAACTATCATTCTGTCCTCTGGCCCCAGCCTTGGGTCGAGACTGGAGTAAGCAGACAACTCACCTAGGGGTCACTGTTGGTCTTGGGATCATGGTTGGGGGTGGTGGGGCCTGGGAATCCAAGGCCTGGTCTGAAGGTGAAGGCAGAGCAAAGAAAGAGGTCTGAACTTGGCTCGAATTAGATGGAAAAACCATTGAGGGGTGGGGAGGGGCAGAGAACAGCACCCTGGGCCTGGATTGACCTTCCCATCCGTCCTAGTTGTTAGGGTATAGACCCCTGGAAGGGACCTTAATGGTCCTCTAGTCCAACATTTTCAAGTGAGAAAAGTGAAGCCCAGAGGAGAGTGAATGAAACAGCATTTACCAAGGGCTTTCCAGCTGCCAAGTGCTGGGGATACAAATGGCTAAGTGAGGCAGTCCCTGCCCCAGGGAAGCAATACGTAGAAGATAATGGTGGCCAAGGAAATGACTTGTTCAGGATCATGCAGGTGTTAAGTAGCCAGGATAGGATTCAAACCCAGCTCATCCAACTCCCAAGCCAGCAAGCTTTCTACTCACTGGTCTACATTTAGAGCTGGAAGGGGCCTCTGTCCTACCAAGCCTGACAAGATGTGACCCTGTTCTCTGGGCTTTCTGCCTGGTATGACTTTCCATATTGGCAGAGAGAAAGGACACCCTCCTTCCCCCAAAGAAAAAGAGAGAAGAAGAGAGAGAGAGAGAGAGAGAGAGAGAGAGAGTGTGTGTGTGTGTGTGTGTGTGTGTGTGTGTGTGTGTGTGTGTGTGTAGGGAGGGAATGAAAGGGGATGGGCCACCAACAAGTCAGCAAGTCTACAGGGAATTGGATCAAAGGGATGAAGCAACCCCAAGAGACTTCCCGGTCTGAAGTGGGTTCTGGGAAGAGAAAGGCAGAGAGGCAGGGTTCACCTCGAATGGGTTCCAGGTAAATGGCTTCCTCGGAGTCCTCTTCTCCAGCTAGACCCTAAAAAAGAAAAGTGTGAAAAGAGAGGAGATGGGGGGGGGGAAGGCCGAAGTGCCCAGTGGTCCTAGTAGGCTGTGACACGCACTAATCCCCACAGAAGCAGTGCCGGGTGACCAGGCCTCAGCAGCACAGCATTCTCCTATCTCAGGATATTTGTGACTTCACCTATTTCCCCTCCACAGACACCCTTTTGTGTCCTAGGATCCTACATTTAGAGCTGGAATGGACTTTAGAGGTCATTGAAGCCAAACCCCTTATTTTACAGAAGAAGAAACTGAGAGGTGAAGTCACTGACCCAGGGACACAGAACTAGGAAGTGTCTAAGGCAGGATTTGAGCCCGGGTCTTCCTGAGTCAAGTTCAGGGCTCTAACCATCGCGTCATGCTGTCTCTCTTAAGATACATATGAGACAAAGCTTAGGAAGGGGAGGTAGCCATTTCACTAAGTCTCCTCCCTCCATTCTCCCTCAGGGGGGTGGGAGGGCAAAGGCTGTATTGAGGATCTGTCCCAGGGAGGTTTCTGGAACATACCCCAGTGCCTCTAATGGGTTTCATATGCCTGGGGCCCAATGGGCATTGTCCCTCCAGGCCCCAGGGACTCATGGACTGCAGGGTATCTGGGAGCCAGCTCAGGGGATGGTCATTGCCCAGGTCACCCCAGAGGATGAATCCTTTTCCCCTCACCTGGGGACAGAAATCCAAACAACCCCTATATTCATGAAGAAACCCCTCCTTGTCCTACGTGGGCCCATAGTGGGTAGGTGAACCTCTGCTAAGAAACCTTCTGCAGGGTGAACCTACACTTTCTGTCCAGGGAGAGGCCCCTTGGTATAGTGGACTCAGGGATGGACTTTGAGCCAGGATCACTTAGGTTTGAATCCTACTATGGGCTCCTGGGCAATTCCCTTTCCTTCGCTGGGCCTCAGTTTCCTTACCTGTAAAATGAGCCAGAGAAGGAAATGGCAAACCACTCCAGTATCTTGGCTGAGAAAACCCCAAGTGGGGTCACAAAGAGTCAGACCCGACTGAGATGACTGAACAACAGCCACCCAAACTATTAGTATTACAGCAAACGGCAGGAACCTGCCCGCATACTCTATCGAGAGGCCTGGTGTTAGGATCATCAGCCAGGCCTTCTGGGTCTCTCCCTGTCAGATTCCCTTCTTAAAGTCCTAAAGTGTGGGAAGAGAAAGGGTCAAGACTACTCACTGTGCCTCCAGATACAGTCAGATCTGCAAGGAAAAAGACAGACTCAGGTGCTAAAGAAGAGGGGAGACATTGAATGAAGGCCAGGGAGGCCAGGAAGCAAGCGGAGGGTTTATCCCATTGGCCTGTGGGCTCCTTGAGGGCAGAGACTCCAATCTCTTGGTAACCCCAGTGCAAGCCCCTCCACTTGGACCATGGTGAGCAATAAAGAGGCTGATGCACTGCAGACAAATGCTTGGTGTCTTGGAGTTCTGGCCCACCCATAGGCTCTGGACAGCCACCCCCTAAGCAGATTTTGGATACTATTTGGAGCAAACGCCCTTCATTGTAAAATAGGTTTCATTTCCCCCTTCTGGAGTGACAACTTTGAAGGATAACACTGATTTATTTGGATTATGAGTTTGAATGCATTTGTTAAAAACAAAACCAGTCCCTGGTGGAATCTCAGAACTCTACGGGATGCTAGGAGAAAAGGCAGGGGAGTGCTGTGGAGGGGTCCTGACTCCCTTTGCACATACCTAGGAAAGAGAGATTCCCTCTCTGTGGTAAGGTGTTCCCTGTTCGTACTACAAAAATCTTGTCTCAGTGACTTGTCTTCAGAGTCCTGAAGGCCTGGACCTCAAGTCGCTGTTCTCCCGGACAGGAATTGACTGTTCCTTACAAAGGATTTTATCTGGGTGTTTCCCCTTAGCCCATGGGCCTCAGGTCCCAGGGAAAGAGCTCTGGTTGGGAATGAACAGACCTGCATTCTAATCCCAGGTCTACCATGAACTGAGCTATAAGCTGGTAGGCATCTAGATGGCACAATGGGTAACAGTGAAGAACTTTGAGTCAGGAACACCTAAGTTCAAGCCTCCCTCAGATACTAATTGGGTAAGTCACCCGCCCTCCTTCAACCTCAGTTTCTTCATTTGTAAAGTGGAGATCAGAAGAGCATCTACTGCTAATAAGGTGGTTGTGAATATCAAATGCAATACCTTGTGTAGAGTGCTTGGCAAATCTTAAAGCGCTATATGAATATACATATATATGTATATAGACCATAGTTTCCTCATCTTTCAAATGGGAATAATACCAGGTACTCTACAAGCCACACAGGGTTGTAGCTGGGCAAATTGAAGGGACTGCTCTCTGTGAGGGGAGAGAGGGAGAGATGCAAAGGGAAATCTAGGCAATGTAAAAATGAAGCTATCAATAAAAATCTATTTTTAAAAATTGTCAAAGAGAGTTGCCCAGGCCACTGAGAGATTAGGGGACTTGCCCAGGGTCACCCAGACAGGCTGTGTCAGAAACAGGAACTGAGCTTAGGTCTTCATGATTCTGAGGAACTAGGGAAGGGAGGGTAAGAGGAAAGAAGGGAGGGAGGAAGAAAAGAAGGGAGGGAGGGAGGGAGGAAGAAAGGAAGGAAGCCTGCATTACACGCTTCCTCTGGGCCAGGCGATTCCTCTGGGCCAGGTGCTGTGCTAAGCTCTCTAACTATTATTCAGCTATTTATTCTAGTCGTCATTCTCACATTCCATGGGGTTCTGGTAGAAATGGTCCTGGGACAGGTTGCTAGCCTATTGGTGATCTTTGATCGTTTGGAAGACTTGTCCAGGTGGATGAAATGATTGCTATTTGCAATTGATTAAAGTATTAGTATTTTACTCTCATTACCTTTTCTACCCGAGTGGTCTCCTCCACCCACGGCCTCCTGTAGGCTCAGGGCAGCCAGCAGCTGTGGGAAGAAAGCCCAAGTAAGAGAAGCAGGTAGGAATGGGGGAAGAGGAGCCAGAGGTGATGTCATTGATGGGGAAAGGCCGAGACCACAGAGAAGGAGTCTGAGAACTGGTGCCTGTGTGAGAGACACGGTCAAGTTCTAGGAGACAAAAGCCAAAGGACCTGGATTCAAATGCTGCCTCTGACACTTACTACCTGTGCCACCCTGGACAAGTCACATGGCCTCCCTAGGCCTTGGTTTCCTCAATTGCAAAAATGAGGGAGTCGAAGGGATCTGGGATCCCTTCTAACCAGCTCCAGGATCCCGAGAAGTTCCTGGGAAAGGATCCCAAGGTCCTGGAGCTCCAGCTGGAAGAGACTTCAGAGCCCACATCACCTACCCCCAACCTTTTCTCTTTACAGATGAGGAAACTGAGGCCTAGGAGTGACTTGACCTAGGTCACATAGGTCATAGATGATAGGGGTGGGATTTAAACCCAGGTCCTCTGCCTCTGAATCCAGAGAGGGAATTACTGAATTTATTTCTATTCCAAGGCCCCCCCCCCCCCCGCCCCGGGTCTTCTCTCCTGATTCTGCCATTTGCAGACCCTCCCAGGGGAATGGGAGGCTCCATGAGGGGAGTAGTCCCATTTTCTTCTAGTGTTTCACTTTCCCTACTTGTGTTTCCCTTTCGGTGCGTGTGTGTGCGCAAGCGTGTGTGTCTGTGTGTGTGGGGGGGATGGGGTGTATGTGTGTGTGTGTGTGTGTGTGTGTGTGTGTGTGTGTGCGTGTCTTCCTCTTCTAATCCAATATTCTGTAAAGAAGATTGCTTTAAAAAGCCATTAGCCTATTCCATGGGCGAGAATATTGGTGGAGCGGAGGTGGGATGGCCTGGATGGGCTCTGGGTGACCTTTATTACGGAGGATGCTTCAGATGCCTGGCCTCTTCATTACGGCAGGATTGGAGCGGACCCAGGACCCAGCCCAGGGAGGGTGTGTGTGTGTGTGTGTGTGTGTGTGTGTGTGTGTGTGTATGTGTGTGTGTGTGTGTGTATGGGTGTGTGTGTGGGTGTGTGTGTGTGTGTGTGTGTGTGGGTGTGTGTGGGTGTATGTGGGGTTAGGGAGGATTGATGGAGCAGAAGAAGTCAGGGATAGGGTTGAGGAGCCCAATGGTCAGAACAGGTGTCAAAATGAGGGGTGATGGGACTAAGGAACACTGTCACGGGGGCTGGGGACAGTGAGGTAGTTAAATAATCGGGGTGGAGGAAGGAAGGAAGAAGGGGAGATCTCTCCAGCAGGGATAGCCACAGAAGGCTGCCATGTTGCTTTTTAGAGCCCTGGTTCTCCACTCCTCTCCCCACCTCCATCTTGGAGGCAGAGTCCTTCAGATGTAAATGCAGGGAAAACAGGTGGATGAGCCATTTCCTGGAGGTGAGGGGCTGGAGATGGGCACCCCAGGGGGAGGGGCAGAATCGAGGCTGCTCACCGCGGGGGGCTGGAGCACTGGCTTGACAGGTCCAGGGGTGATGGATCGATCTGGAAAAGAGGACCGTGCCCCATGTGCCGGCCGGTAGCCACTCAGACCCCAGGCTTCCCTCCCTCCCCCTCTTTGTTCGCCATTTCCTCTCTCTGCCCCCCTCCCCATGCTGTCCGTTGCTTCCGTAGCTCCTCATGCCCCTCCTGCTTTCCCTTCCTGCCTGATCCTGCTTCCTGAGTGCTGCATCACCATGACAACAGAAGGAGGCCAGCTCCCCGCCCCCCCACTCCAGTCCCTCTGGGCAGCCTGATGCCAGGTCCAGCGAGCCTCTTCTTAGACAGCTGAGAGAGCTCTGCTGCTGCTGCTGTCTCTCCAGAGCCCCCTCTGGCTCCCCTCTCCCCAAAACACACCAAGCTCACGGTTCCCCTGGATGACCTCAGTGATGGACGGGATGGGGGCAAGGTCGGGAGGGGCCTGTGACAGGGCCCTTGGTTATTGCCTAACAGTTTCCATGGTGATACAGGGCCCCCTCCCCCTTCCCTTCTCCCACCCCACCCCCATTCCCTTGTTTCCAGCCTGGAGCTGGCTCCCTGCTCTCCTCCCCCTCCCCCCCCCAGCAGCCTGAGGCTCCCTGGAGTGAGAGACAGTGAATGGCTCCTTCAGCTTAGTAGGAAGAGGGACCAAAGCCCCATCGGGATGCAGGAGCCCAGGGAGGGAGAGAAAGGAGGGATAGGGGCAGATAAAATCCCAAGGATCTGTTTGTGAGGCCTCCCCGGCGGCGCCAGCAAGATGCTGTGTTCATCCTGCCGGTCCACCCCCCACCCCCACCCCATCAGCTCTCACCCAGATAGAGCTCGTTCTTCTCCAGGGGGAGAGGACAGGCAGGGGCCATCTTGAGGGGCAGGGATTCACAAGGAGGAAGCTCATATTCTGCATCTCCATCATCTTCCTCCTCAGCATCCTTCAGGGGAGAGAGGGACCGATGAGAGAAGGGGAGGACACGAGGCTGGTGGGAGCCTAAGGGGGAGGAGGTAGAGAGAAGATGGGGGAGCAGGCAGAGATGGCGGGGGCTGGGTGGAGGGAGCAAGAAGATGGGAGGATGACTGGAGCTGAGATCAGGACATGGCATGGGGGAGTGGCAAAGTATAGGAATTAGAGAAACCTTACCCATTGGCTCAGGAGCCCAGGAGAACCAGAGGAAGGCGACATGAGAGCTTCCTCTTTCCAAGATGGGGAAACTGCAGGAAAAATCAGCTTCTTTCTGTTACCTTCTCCCCCAACCCCGCCTAACTACAATCCCCTCAGCTCTGTAGGCCTGGGTCCTTTGCCTTGTCACATCACAACCTGCTGCGTCTTTCCTCCATCAATCATTCCGTCTAGTGGCGTTTATAAAACATTTACTACGTGTTAAACACTGAGCAAAGAGTGGAACTGCAAAGAAAAGGCAAAAACAGACTGCTGTCTCTACAGGGGCTTTCGATGTCTTAACCCAAAGGCGTGACTAATGAATGATGGGACGTTTTTAAGATATCCTGGCAATGCCAGAGGGAAAGAGACTGGAGGGGGGCTGCTTTCCACCACTCTTTGAGAGGTCTGCATGCTCTCTAAGACCGGACTCCTCAGACCTGGTGTCGGGCAGCCTGGGACCTAGGGCACCCAAGTGAGGAGGGAGAGGCCTTCTGTTTAGGGGGCCTTATCTCCCCATGCAGGCATAGGGTCATAGATTTAGAGGTGGAAGTGACATTAGATGCTATCAAGCCTTCCTCATAACACATCTGGGGACACTGAAACATAGAGGTTAAGTCATTTGCTCCTATGAGTCTGAGGCAGGACTTGAACTCAGATCTTCCAGCCCAGAAATTTAGCCACTTCTCACCTGGATGTTTCTCTCCCCTCTGGTGCTTACCCAGTGATCTGGGGGGTGGCAAGGGAGGCAGAGACCTGTAAGCAGATGCTAATTAGTTCCTCCCAAGGAGGCCCCGAGTTACCAGGCTGAGGGAGGGCTCAGACTGAAAAGCTCAAGCCTCCAAGGACAGAGATGGGCCACCCAAAAGCCACATACAGGTTCTCTATAGGATGGTGGATGCACATGGAAAGTAAGAGGGGAGTCAGTGTAGAGAAAAAGTGGGGGATGGAAACTAATAGCATTAGCTCTGCTTTGGCCCTTGCCTGGGGGCTTATGGGAAAGGATGGGCTAGGGAGAAGAAGAGGGGAGAAAAAAGGGATGGGACAGGAGAGGTTACTCACTGGGTCTTGTTTCCACCGGGTTTGTCCTGCAAAGAACACAGGGAGGAGGGTGGCGGAGGGCATGGGTGAGTCTCCGACTGCCCAGGCTCCCCTCCACCCTTCCCAGGAGCCTGAAGGCCTGGCCTCGGGCTTGGAGCTGTACCAAGGAAGAAACATCTTACCATGTAGGGGAGCTGAGAATCGAGTGACTCTCCGAGGCTCCAGCCCTGATCTTTTCAGTGGAGGTAGAACCAGGGGAACAGCCGCCCTATTGTTCCCGAGATTTGCATCTCTCCAAGCCGCAGGGGAAGGAATCCGAGCACCGGGAAGGCCAGGGGACCTCAGCCCCCCACCCTGTTCCCTGCCCCCAGCACCCCTCCTTCCCTCTTCCTCCCCCAGAGAGGTGTGGCTAGTGCCCCAGGACTGAATTTGGTCTGGCTCCAAATCCAGCCTGACCTCGGGGATCCCGCCACTCACTCCACAAATCCAATCCACAGTCCTCTGCAGTGCCGGGGGGGGGGGGGGGGGGGCCCCCGCACTCCTCTCACGCCCCCCCCCCCCCCCCCCCCCCCCCCCCCCCCCCCCCCCCCCCCCCCCCCCCCCCCCCGCCCGGGCGGGGGGGGGGGGGGGGGGGGGGGGGGCGCCTCATTTGGACTATTTCAATATCCCCTCCCGGCCTCAGTCTCTTCCTGCTCCAACTCATTCTCCACTTGGGTGCCAAAGGGATGTTCCTAAAGCACAGATCAGACCATATCACTCTCCCTCCTCCCTCCCCAACTCAATAAACACCAGTGGCTCCCCATTCCCTCCAGCATCATTTAAAGCCATTTGTGATCTGGATCCTTCTTACTTCTCCAGTCTTCTTCCATCCTGGCCTGTGTGCTCTTGAACACAAATCTCCATCTCCCACCTCCACGCCCCCTTCTCTTCTTCACATCTGATGCTTAGCTTCCTTGCCTTCAAGATCTCAAATCTCACCTTCTGCGGGCGGTGTTTCTGAGTCCCACCAGCAGCTGGCTAAACTTATCATCCATCTGTGTATACAGCTTGCAGGTGCCTAGTTCTTTACATGTTTAGAATGAGCTATTTGAGAGCAGGAATTGATTAGACCTTTCTCTGTATCCTCACTCAGTGCCTGGAAGATACTAGGTGATTAATAAATGCTTGCTCATTGATTGACTGACAGAAAGTAGCCCTACTCCATTCCAGATCTCATTTCTTCTTCCTGACTAGGAATGTTGGGACCAACTTGGAAAGAGGAGATGAGATGTATTCAGGTTGGGAGCAAATTATTAAGTTACCCTCCAAGGGTCAAAAGATGGTCTGGAAAAGGTGGTAAAGGTGCTGCTCTGGAACAAGCGGATTTCCCCCCCCATTTTTATTTAAACATTTTTCATTTGTTAAGTCATTTTTCAGTCATGTCCAATTCCTGTGACTCCATTTGGGGTTTTCTTAGCAGAGATACTGGGGTGGTTTGCCATTTCCCTTTCTAGTTTATTTGACAGATGAGGAAACTGAGACAAACAGGGTTAAGTGACTTGTCTGAGGTTGGATTTTGAACTCAGGAAGATGAGGCTTCCTGACTCCAGGCCCAGCACCCTATCCACTGAGCTGCCAAGCTGCTCCATTTTTCCCATTTCTTATTTAAAATTATTTCATATTAGTATAAAAAGAGTTTCAGTTGAAAGATGGTTTTAAAAGAAGGGTTTTCTGGCTGCTCAGACTGGGAACATTTTCCAAAATGTGTCTGATAAACGTCATTGCTTTCGGAAAATCTTAATTAAAGACATACTTTCTGAAAGTAAGATACATGATGTGCAAGGTTTATTGATCAACAAACATTTATTAAGAGATTATCATGTGCCAGACTCTATGCTAAGTTCTGGACACACAAATGTGTGCCATATGTGAAACTGTCCCTGCCCTCAAGGAGCTTATATTCTATTCCTTATTTTATATGTTTATTTGCTTGTCTTTGTTCACTAATTAGAGTGTATGGCATAATGGGAAGAGCCAGAAGACCTGGGAGGGGGTGTGTGACACAGTGGATAGAGTACCAGACTTGGATTTGGGAAGGCTTGGGTTCAAACCTTGCCTCTGACAATTACTAGCTGGGTAGCTATGGGCAAGTCATAACTTCTCTAAACCTTCAACACTCTTTAAGACTTGTCTACTGAGTTAGAGATAGGCCAAGACCTTGGATCATAGATTTGGAGCTGGAAGGGTCATTATAGGCTATGGAATGCAATCCTCCACATTTTATAAGAATCGGGCCCAGAGTAGTTAAGTGATTTACCCAGGGGCACACAAGTGGGACGTGCCTGAGGTAAAACCAAGGGCTTTTTAATGCCAACTCTAGCATACTGGTCATTTCACTATACCAGATCTGCCCACACCAGGAAAGTCCTAGAAATGTTGACATATTTATTGATAGTTACCAATGTGTGTGTGTGTGTGTGTGTGTGTGTGTAACATCTCCCCTAGATATCTCTACCTACGTGAGCTTCTGAAACTCATCATGTCCAAAAGACAATTTATTTAGATTTACCCCCAAATCCCGGCGCCATCTCCCACTTCCACACTTTTGTACAATTCCCCATTTGCGGAGTGCACTCCCTTTTCATCTCTGCCTCGAAGAATCCCTAGTTTCCTTCCAGGCACATCTTCAGTTCCACCTCCTGAGTGAGACCTTCCCCAACCTTCCCTTCCCCCTAGTTACAAGCACTGATCCTTCTTGAAATTATTTTATAGGTACAGACTGTACTCTTCCTTTACCAGTTAGACTGGAAGGTATTAGGGGCCAGGAAACATTTTCTTTTCTTTTCTTTTTTTCTTATTTGGTCTTTTTATTCCCCTCTTGCAACAGTGCGTTGCACATAGTAGGCACTTTATAAAGATGCGCATTGAATTCATTTCTACTTGTTGGGGTTCATAGCTGGCAAATGCCTCAATGGGGTCACCATGCATCTTCCGTCTGGCCTCTACCCCAGCAAATTCAGGTCACCTAGGGGCAATCAGGCTCAGAGAAAATGATTCCCGATAACCCAAGTCACAAGAGACTAATTTGTTAGCCAGTTTATTTCTTTATAATGGGAGGGCTATCTGGTCAGATAAGCAATATCAGGCCATGAGAAAGCACAGGTTCCTCTTCCCTGGTGGGTGAGTCCTCAGATCAGAGATCAGGAGCCTGTCTGGTGGGTGGAGGGCTGAGCCAAGAGAGCTGGATGCAGGATTCCTAAGGGGCATTAGGAAGAGTCTGTCCAGCTCTGGCTTGCTGCCTGAGCAATGGCTCCTGTTTTTTCTAACCTTTAAATACTGTAGACGCCTCCCCTTCTATTATTGTGCTGCTTTGACCTTCAGTGCACCCCTCTCCTTCCCCCCTTTTTAAAGATTTTATCCATTTTAGATGGTTTTCTTCTTGATCTAGATACAAATCCCCTTCATAACCCAGCCCCCTCCTACCTTTCCAGTCTTCTTACACCTTAGCCCCTACCAGGTACTCTTTGATGCAGTGACATTGACCTCCAGGTTGTTCCAAGAACTAGACCTCCGTGTCTCAGCTCCTCATGGCCGTCCCCCATACCTGGAATGCTTTTCCTCCTCCCCTCCCTCTATTGACCTCCAGGCTTCCTTTGAGTTCCAACCCAAATCCCACCTTCTCTCGAAGCCTTTCCCAGCCCCTCTTCATTCCAGTGTCCTCCCTCTGTTAATTATATCTTATTGATCCTATACAGGGCTTGCTTTGTATATATTTGCTTATTGTTTCCCCACCTTATACAATAATTATATTATGTCATATCATATATTATATCATATATCATATCATATTATGTTAATCTCCTTGTCGGCAGGGATTGTCATTTGCCCCTTTTTTATTTCCCCAGAGCTTAGCACAGTGCCCGACACATAGCAGACACTTAATAAATGTTTATTGATTGATTGATCCAGAGATATTCTAGTCTTCCTGATTCAGCTTGGGGGACTCTAGTTTTATCAACAGCCAACCATCTTACTGGGGAGCAGTCCTTCGCAGTCCATTGGTTTCATCCATTTCTTTTTTGATTCTGATTGGAAGTTCTCTGAGGACAGGGCCTGGCTTAGTTTTTTTGTTTTGTTTTTACCTTTGTATACTCAGGATGAAAGGACATTTTTTTTTGTTTGTTTGTTTCTTTGTTGATATATCTTTACTGATATAAACATGACCTCCTTAGATTCTAGACCGTGTTCTCCATATGGGAGCTCCCTAAGCAGCGGCTGGTCGGCGCATTGGCTGGAGTGCTGGACCTGGACACTTAAGTCACTCATCCCTTCTCAGGCTCAGTTTCCTGATCTGTAAAATGGGCACCTACCTTCCAGGGTTGTTGTGAAGATCAAGCAATATAATATTTGTAAAGCGCTTATCAGGGTGCCTGGTACATAGTAGGCACTTAATAAATGTTTATTCCCCTCTGCCAAGCACTAAACACCAAGTAACAGAATAAGACATGTAAGAAGAGTGCTTTATACAACCTTAGGAAAGGGATTCTGCCTCCTGCCCAAGGGGCTCTGGGCTCTGATAGGCAGGGACCTTTCTCCTTATCACGCCCAGAGCCAGGCAACCAAACTCGGCCGCACCCTCACCCATAGCTGCCCTGCCTGCATTATTATTCCCTCTCCCCCCCTGCCACCGGAGAAAGTAAGCTCCTTGAGGACGGGAGCTTGCCTGTCCTCTAAGCCTGGCAGGCGCAGGTTCTAAGCCTGCCAGTCAGCTTTCACACACAGCTCAGGGATTCCAGCACTTCTTAGGAGGCATTACACGAATGGAAGACGTTAACCATAATAATACATCTCACTTATCTTCTACACCTTGTTTGCCAGCCCTGGAGTGGCATTGGGAAAGATAGCACGCTTTCCAATGGCCAAGGTTTTCAAAAGATCAATTGAATTCAAGAGATATTTATTTTTAAAATTATTGTAAAATTGACAAAACTATAAGATAAGAAATAAAATTCCACACAAACCCTTGACATGATACAAGAGTGAAACAAATTAAATAAAGAAAAAGAAACTGGTAAAAGGAAGGGAAGATCAGAGCAGCAGAGGAGAGACTGGACCAGCTCTGAGAAATCCCAACAGCTGGTGAGATGGAGAAGACAATTCTCTCCCAATGGGCTTCCTTTGCCTTCCTTGGCCTCCCACTGATGGGGCTGGATAGCATTCTCCTTAATCCTTTCCACCATTGGGGGTGTGAGTAGTGGTTCAGGAGGGTGCCCCTGTCACCCTTGGGATTTGGGAAGGAAAGCAGGAGGAATTTGGGGAGATGGTTGGAAATAGAGCA